ACATATGCCGTTGAGGTAATCGCTAGATTCTGCATAAATTTCTACGTGTACGAGGAATTGAGTATACCTCCATGGCATGCCATAGTTACAGCGCGTGTATACAATTTTCAGCTTCGTAGTTGTCAGAGATCCAAAGTGTTTGCATGATCCTCGTCTTATCGATAGGCCCAAAAAATGTGGGAGTCGTTCACAAGTGGAGGCTTGGCGTAGATCAGGTCGCGCATCCTTCCGACTAGAATACGACAAGTGTACGACATGCGCATACGACAAGGTGATGCGTGGTCTCAGTCTGCAATCCGTGGGCCGGCGACGCGCCCCACGTCTCCTTTTCCTCCGCCCGCGTATAGGTTTACGATGGGCGAGCACGTTGGAGAGGAAGTCAAGAGCTGAAGGAATCAAGGTCGAATCGCTCACTGCCAAATGGCAGCCACACTGGGATCGACTGTCATCCCAATGGCACGACTTGCGGGAGTCCGACAGAGGAAATGCATACGTGCTGCCCATGTTCCCATACCCCTCCGGCACGCTCCACCTCGGCCACCTGCGCGTATACACGATATCCGATGTTCTCTCCAGATACAAGCATATGCAGGGCTACAAGGTTCTGCACCCCATCGGATGGGATGCGTTTGGCTTGCCGGCTGAGAATGCAGCGATCGAGCGAGGGGTACATCCGGAGAAATGGACGCTGCAAAACATCGATACTATGAAGGGCCAAATGAAGGAAATGGGTGGACGCTGGGACTGGGACTCTGTATGGAAAACGATGAATCTAGTCAAGCATGGGCTGATTAATGTATGTAGGAGATACGAACATGCGATCCCCATTTCTACAAGCACACTCAGCGGATTTTTCTCATGCTCCATGAACGCGGACTAGCCTACCAAGCCGAATCTCTCGTGAACTACGATCCTGTCGACAAGACCGTCCTCGCGAACGAACAAGTAGACGCCAATGGCTGTTCCTGGCGCTCCGGCGCAAAGGTCGAGAAGGTGATGCTGAAGCAATGGTTTCTGAAGATCAAGGAGTTCCAAGAGCCTCTGCTAAAGGACCTGGACGCTCTTGCACGAGATGGAAAGTGGCCCGAGAAAGTCCTTGCAATGCAAAGAAATTGGATTGGCAAATCTGAAGGCGCGCAGCTTTGGTTCGACGTCATCTCGACTAACAGCGAGACGCGCTTTGAGCCCGTCGATGTCTTCACTACCAGAGCCGACACATTGTTCGGAGTGCAATACATTGCTCTCTCGATGCGTCATCCAATCGTCCAGCAGCTAGCTATCGAAGATTCAGAGCTTCGCGCCTTTATAGAGCGAGCAAAAGAGCTACCCCTGGACACCAAGGAGGGGTTCAGGCTACGAGACATTGTAGCACGCAGCCCGCTTGCGCATGTTAGAGGCACTACGGGGCCTTCTATACCTATCTATGTGGCTCCATATGTTTTGGATGACTACGGCTCGGGCGCTGTAATGGGTGTTCCAGGCCACGATGCGCGAGATCATGCTTTTTGGCGAACAAATGTCGGCGATGAGCCAGTCAAGGTTGTTATATCTGCTAAGAGAGGCGCTCTGCCACTGCCACTTGTACCGTGTAGTGGAAAAGACATGCCAGTGACTGAGAAAGGTTTTGTCGCTGCTGACATAGATCATTTCGGTGGCATGACCTCGAAGCAAGCCGCGAACGAGGTTGTGCGAGCAATAACCGACACTGGGAAGCCAGCTCAAAAGACGGCAAACTGGCGACTCCGAGACTGGTTGATCAGTCGGCAACGTTACTGGGGTGCCCCAATCCCTATCGTTCATTGTGACTCTTGTGGAGCTGTTCCTGTACCTGAGAAGGATCTTCCGGTGGAATTACCAAACCTGCCTGACAGCTTTTTCGAGGGACGCAAAGGCAATCCGCTAGCAGAAGATGAGAACTGGAAAAAGACCACATGTCCGAAGTGCGGCTCAGCTGCTGAGCGCGAGACAGATACGATGGACACTTTCATGGACTCATCTTGGTATTTCTTCAGATTTCTGGATCCCAAAAACGAGCATGCCTTGGTCGACCCTACAAAGACGAATAGCGGTATGCCTGTAGACCTCTACGTTGGCGGTGTAGAGCACGCGATCCTCCATCTACTGTATGCGCGCTTCATATCCAAGTTCCTGGCAACCACTTCATCGTGGCCCAAGGGCCATTTGACGAATGGTGAACCTTTCACGCGCCTCATCACCCAAGGTATGGTTCACGGAGAAACCTTCACTGACCCCGAGAATGGTCGCTTCTTGCGTCCAGATGAAGTCGACTTAACGAATCCTTCCAAGCCCATCATCAAGGCCAGTGGTGTGACTCCAAATGTCAGCTTTGAGAAGATGTCGAAGAGCAAGTACAACGGCGTGGATCCAGGAGCTACAATCGCCAAGTACGGCGCAGACGCAACGCGCGCGCATATGCTCTTCCAAGCCCCTGTCAGTGATGTGCTTGAGTGGGATGAGAAAAAGATTACCGGCGTGCAACGGTGGCTACATCGAGTCATCAAACTTTCCACAGCGCCCTGGATACCTGATGACGAAATGGAGAAGTTTACAGTACCGGAACATGTTGACAAGAAACTCCTCAACATCCTGCAGGATATTTCAACAAGCGAGGGTTCTTTGAACGCCACACGCGAAAGCTTAGTGTCTATACTCAAGCAAGATGAAGCGAAGCTTTGGATCAAAACACAAGAAACTATCGCTAGTGTTACTGAGTCGTACTCGCAGACATACTCACTGAACACCATCATCAGCGATCTCATGACGCTTACGAATGCCATCTGGGACGCCCCACATGCGTCTCACATTACTCCATATCTCAAGTGGTACTCTATGGCACACCTCGTCCGTATGCTCGCCCCTATCGCTCCTGGTGTTGCTGAAGAAGCTTGGCACCAACTGAACACCTGTACCACATCTCAAGAGCACGAACGCAGCGTACAAACCGTCTTCGCAAGAAGGTTCCCAACCGCTGACCTAGCCATCATACCACTCCTCACTACGACGCGCAAGTGTGTCGTCCAGATAGATGGTAAACGCAAATTCGACGTGGATATCCAGAAGCTTCCCGATTCGATCAGCCCTAAAGACAGCAATGCTGTAACGAAGTTCGTTCTGCGCGAACTACTTCAGACAGACGAGGGAAGGGAGTGGTTTGATAGAGAAACAGGAAAGATCTGGAAGCTGAGTGCGACCGAGAAAGAGAACGAAGAGTTTGGGGTAGTACCCGAGGGATGGAAAGTTATTGCTGTGAACGGCGGCGCGCTATGCAATCTCGTTGGGCCAAAGAAACCCAAGATGGAAAAGAGTGGATGAAGACCTGTATACATACGATACCTTTACTCATAGCAACATGTACAATATATGCGACACATTCCAACCTCGGAGTATACATCACCTGCCTTAGCACAGCACAGCAATAGTTTTCGTAGCGAAACCTTCATGGTACGTTTTGGAGCACGCTCAGTTTTAATCATCTTCAAGTTACCGTGCTAATAGCAGGGAGCTGTTTAGTATCGAACTTAACCTGCAGTTAACAGTTAGCAGCCGTCCCCTTAATGCAATAAAAAGTTTTCCTATGTCTTGTATTAATAATTGCGCCTATTGTAGTTAGTACTAGTTGCTTAAGATATATCTTTGTCTTTCTAGTTGTGCTCCAGGAACACATATCAACAGCTTAAGACCCTCGGACGGCTTAGTTGTTGTCCCAACTTGTTGTGTAAGTAGTTTGCTGTCACATACCCTGCTAGCTGGCAATCGCAGGACAAGATACCACGTAGATAACACTGACATTGTTATCGTTGGCCATGAATATCTTGAATGCAAGGAATATGTCAATCACAAACATATTTCTTGCTTGAAGTTTGGAGCTTGTATCTTCCTGTTGTGGAGGAGGCTGTCAACGAAACCCCAGGTGAGTACCTTTAGGCTACGTTTTGGCGTAAAACACAGGCTCCACACAGCACATTTGTACCTGACACGTGGAGAATACATCATCATGTCGTTGCGTAGCACGACGATGAAATACTCAGTGAAGACCTTTAGGGTATATTGTGGTATAAGGCATGAATCGGGTAAATAAAGCTCATTCATAGCTTGGAGTCTTGACTGAATTACCATATCCAGGTACCTAGGCAAAATTGCTGCGAGAAAGCGTTCAATTTACTCACACCACTCGAACTGTTTGATTCATACAGTGTTAGGGAATGTGGCATTACATACAGCAACAGTCTGGTCGTAGTCTCCAAACCAGAGTAATGATCAAACTCCGGTGCACCATTTTTTCTGCGAATACTTTTAGGTTATGCTGTTGGAGAATGGAAGCCAGTCACGGGTAATAAAACCCTCATACCTGCGGTCGACTGGATAACGTTTTCGCCGTGCGGTCGAAACATAAATTTCTGAGACCAAGCCAGAAATATGGAACGAGATACTAATAGTGACGGCGATCTTTCCTTTTCCACACTTGGCGAGACGCCTGTTGTTGGTTAATAGCCAGATGCCTGTTGTTGATGGAAATATGCCTCCCCTTTGCAGACGTGATGTCACTAAGAGTCCGCTATTTGTTCTGCTTTGGGGACCAGGCGAAGGGCTCAGCGTTGCTCATAGCATAGGGATACCACATCAACTCTCTCTTTTTGTGGTTTTGTTATCCCGAGGCGGATATTCAATCGGGGCGAATCGGAAGGCGGGGAGGCGTCGTAACATCAACGGAGAGCATGGTTGTGTAAGATTGAGGTGTGTTCATGAGAGGTCGAGCACTCCCGAAGAACATCGGCAGGATAAAAACGTGTTTGGGGTATCGTGGGTGAGTTTACGATGCGATCCTGGGGTTGTCTCCTCGCCATCAACTAACCTCGTGGGCACTAGTCGCGCACGGATCTCTTGGAACGCCGTCCGCTTTCCTTTCGAGCTGTGAGAAGCTCTTTCCTCACCAACCCACCCTCTCTCCACTCACCAATCCGTCTACCACATATCTCACAATGCTGAAGAGGTAAGCCAACCGCCCATTGAGTCCAATTGATGATGAATTGAGATGGACTGACGCCTATTTCGACAGTGGGATCCAGCAGGCGCTCCGCGCTTCCATGCGCAGGCCGGCCATCCGCCGCAGCGCATTTTCGCCCATGAAGAAGAGCTTCGCCCCCGCGCTCTCCACCCGATTCGCCAGCACCGACGCAACAAAGGATGGCAAGATTCATCAGGTCATTGGTAAGTTGGACAGGTATATATTCTAAGCAACCAGTACTAACTAAAGCAAGGCGCCATCGTAGACGTAAGACATGGGAAAACTTTTCATTGCATCAAGACAACGGCCGCTGACTATTAACTGCAGGTCAAGTTCGACACCGAGCAGCTCCCTGCTATTCTCAACGCCGTCACCACCCAGAACGGCGACCAGAAGCTGATTCTCGAAGTTGCTGTAAGGACGCCAAGAATTGAAGAAGTGGGAACAGCATCACTGATTCAGGACAGCAACATTTGGGTGAGAACGTCGTCAGATGTATTGCCATGGACGGTACCGAGGGTCTCGTCCGCGGTTCCAAGGCCACCGACACCGGTGCCCCCATCAAGATTCCCGTTGGTCACGGTACCCTTGGTCGTATCATGAACGTCACTGGTGACCCCATTGACGAGCGTGGTCCCATCAAGGCCACCAAGTACGCCCCCATCCACGCCGACCCCCCGGAGTTCACCGAGCAATCCACCTCCGCTGAGGTCCTCGTTACCGGTATCAAGGTTGTCGACCTGTTGGCTCCTTACGCTCGTGGTGGAAAGATTGGTCTCTTCGGAGGTGCTGGTGTCGGAAAGACTGTCTTCATTCAGGAGCTGATTGTAAGGAGACACATTGTCTACTGGCTGAGCATTAGCTAACGGCAGACAGAACAACATCGCCAAGGCCCACGGTGGTTTCTCCGTCTTCACTGGTGTCGGTGAGCGTACCCGTGAGGGTAACGATCTGTACCACGAGATGCAGGAGACTTCCGTCATTCAGCTTGACGGTGACTCCAAGGTCGCCCTCGTCTTCGGTCAGATGAACGAGCCCCCGGGTGCCCGTGCTCGTGTCGCTCTTACTGGTAAGTATTCCTTCCATCTGTATCCCTCTCACCTGTAAAAATTTTCGTTGTACTTTCCTTCTGGCTGAGGCCACCTTCCTTCCTACCACCACACCCACCTCTGTGCACAACCGCACCTGCCCTATCCCACCCACCTTCCTGAGGGGGCCTTCCTCAATCATGGCATTCGTCGTACGATGGCATCGCGTCACACGATGGCGTCAACACGCCCGTCTCTGCTCTATAGAGACGGTTGTTGTGACGCCTCTCACCTCTGGTCGTCACGCCGCACACCCTCACCATGGTCCTCGCCATGGCCGACGACAGCCTGCCGTATGACGGTGTGGCGTACAACAGCGAGAAATACGAGAGCCGAGTTCACCGTGAGCTCGAGGCCGACGAGGCCGAAAGTACTTTCCAGGACTCCAGAATCGACGAGGGCGATTCGGACGGTGTCCAGCTACTTCAGCTCAGTCCCCTCGCTCAGCTCGTTGACGACCTCACCTTCAACATGGTCAACATTCCCGCTCCTCCCTGGTTCATCAACCTTGACTTTGGTGCGGTCTTCGCCGAACGCCCTTCTTACGACAGCATCGCTGCTTGCTCGCCTCTGACCTTCCCTCCCAACCTCTATGAGGTATTCACTTCCTCCACACCTCCTTCGATCGACTATTTCAAGTCGTTACCTCCAGCCACTCCCACGCTATGGGGCATCTACGCGATCGTCATGGCAAAGTCTGGCTGTGAGGATGGTCTATACATTGGCTCTGGGACGAACAGTGACCATGGTGTCCTTGTTAGGGTCAACCAGTACAAGCCAGGCGGTAGTGCGCTACCTCGCTTCGTCAAAAGGGCTTTCGAGCAAGGCTACCACGTCGCACACCGTGGCCTACTCTGCTCTTCACCTCTACCTACCCCAGGCCTTGCTCCAAGGGTGAGAGCCCGCTTCCTAGCCCTCGAAGCTCTCTTCACTGCTCTGTTCTTTGCCTCCATCCCCGCCATCACCGACTCATACTTCGAGCATCTCCTTCTGTGGGAGCGAGACATAGTCACATGGAAACCCTTATGCTCTCACTTGCCCCTCAACGAGGGCATAATGGGTGACCTTCACATGAGTATCGAGGAGCTCGAATTGGTCGCTGCTAAGCGCCGGGAAAGGGCTTCCTCACCCACTCGTCTGGCTGTGTTTGCAAGGCGATCCGCCAGGAACAGGGAGGAGGCCAAGGCTACCGGCATGTACCACTGTGATGTCTGCGACATCGATTTGCAGGGTCCGCTAGCACTCGACAAGCACTTGAAGTCCACCTGGCATGCTGATCGGGTGGCTGGCGTCCCGATACCCGATCCTCACAAGTACAACGACAACCTCAAAGCTCAGCGTGCTGCCCGCAAAGCGAACAAGGAACACTGGTGCTCGGTCTGCAACAAGGGCTTCGGCGAAGACTGGTCCCTCACACGCCATAAGGAAGGCACCCGTCACAAGGCCCGCGCGAAGAAGGCCCGTGAGAAGAAGGCCCGCTCGAAAGGGCTTTCCGAGAAAGGGCTTTCCGGGCTCTAATCGAGTCACACGATTCTTGGGCCAGCATCCCTATCTCATGTCATCGCTTCTCATTGTTAATCACAACGCATCTCACTCATCGCCATTGGCGGTCCTATCAGTACACTATGCTAACCACAACATCAACAGGCCTCACTGTCGCTGAGTAAGTCTTGAATACACCGTGAACATGACTGAACGTAGCTGACATAGGATTTCAGATATTTTAGGGACGAAGAAGGCCAGGACGTGCTCCTGTTCATTGACAACATCTTTCGCTTCACGCGTACGTTGTCCCCATTCCACTCTGCACAAACTCGGTTACTGACTTTTCATTACAGAGGCCGGTTCCGAGGTGTCCGCTCTTCTTGGTCGTATCCCCTCTGCCGTCGGTTACCAGCCCACCCTCGCCATTGACATGGGTGTCATGCAGGAGCGTATTACCACCACCACCAAGGGTTCCATCACCTCCGTCCAGGCCGTCTACGTGCCCGCTGACGATTTGACTGACCCTGCCCCCGCCACCACCTTCGCCCATTTGGACGCCACCACTGTCTTGTCCCGTGGTATCTCCGAGTTGGGTATCTACCCCGCCGTCGACCCTCTTGACTCCAAGTCCCGTATGTTGGACCCCCGTGTCATTGGTCAGGACCACTACGACACCGCCACCCGCGTTCAGCAGATTCTCCAGGAGTACAAGTCGCTCCAGGATATCATTGCCATTCTCGGTATGGACGAGTTGTCGGAAGCTGACAAGCTCACCGTCGAGCGTGCCCGTAAGATCCAGCGTTTCTTGAGCCAGCCTTTCGCTGTCGCCCAGGTCTTCACTGGTATTGAGGGCAAGCTTGTCGACCTCAAGGACACCATCCGATCATTCAAGGCTATCTTGACTGGTGAGGGTGACGACCTTCCCGAGGGTGAGTCTCGACTATCTCCGCATTCATAGCGTATAACTGACATTTCTAGGTGCTTTCTACATGGTTGGTGACTTCGAGTCAGCACGCGCCAAGGGAGAGAAGATTCTTGCTGAGCTCGAGAAGTCATAGACGGACTTTGATGGTGGGTGAAGAGTCGGCCAGAGTGTCTAGTGCAATTCGCTGGTAGTCTCACTTTGTACAAAAGATATACCTCTGAAACTGTGGGACTTTTAAGCGGGTGCTTTGATGCGTGGCTTCCTGTAACTTATCGTGCATGAAGAGACCGCTTTTTCTTGTTCAACGCACCTCAGTTTTCCCCTGCTCGTGATATATGCTCCTCTAACCACGGGAATACAGTTTAGTATCTGTGTTCGTGATCTTTCTAATAACATCGTTCACTAGCTTAAAGAGAGAAATTGAACATCTCTTTAAGCAAAATACTTATGCCTACTACAATGAAGCGTGTAAAGACCTTCCTAGACATAATAGAGAACCTAGAAGTCTACAATGCTATTAGTCTTACTAGACCTTCTTCTTAGAAGTTAACGTAGGCGGTAAACTAGAGTTTGTTGTCTCTGTACCCGTTTGAGTTTTCTATTGTATACGGTGGTTCTTGGTCTAGGGAATGGCTGCGACTTGATTCAGGGATATATGTTGATGCTCGTCCAGAGACATGTTCCAGGACATCATTCCTCACCGCTTGATGATATCAATTCGACGTAATAGCGTATTTTGAACACACGTGGTGATGTTACTCTGTTGAACAACAGGTGGCCATAAGTATAGTTCTTCTCCTCACGCCTAGAAACCGGTTCTCAAGCCTAGGAGCAAACACTGAACTAAAGCGGGGGGCTGCCGACGTTGGAAAAGAGCTTGGGCAATATACATACAGCTTGCGATCGATGTAAAGGGTCTAAGTCGAGGAATTTGTCCATAGTGGTTATAGGTGTGTAGTAGCCAACGCACGTATGCTGTAACCCGATCAGTCTTAAGCTTGGGAGATCACCCGCTTTCGCCCTTTCCAATACAAGAACTGCTAGATGCCGGCAATGTGCTGGGATCAAGCGACAGATGAAAATTGATTCAAGCTACTATGCTATTGATAGCAAGAATCAACATTGCAGCTTACCAAGGTACTAGGACATAAACGACCGAATATGAGGAATTGTGATAAATAGTCGAAATCTCACCATGGGCCTAAAAGTACATGGACTCATCTGATGCGTACTACATGACACATAATCGAAGTAGTAGCGCCGCATTTAAATCTGCTCGTTAAATCCAATATCGAACGTTCTCCTTGAAGTACCTTGCATATGGTTAAGTGCTTGTGTACATCCTTATCATCTTTCCATCCTTCCTTCAACCAAGTCAACGGCATGGATTGTCTTTCAAACAGTAGATGCGTAGAGCAGATCATTGTATTAGAATCAATACAACAGGCTTCCTAAGTGTGCCAGCAGTTTCGAGCGTGGCCTAAAGTAGTCAAAACTGCAAGCACTAGTCACACATCTGAACAAACTCTCTCGTGAGCGGTCAGGAAGGTATTGCTTCAGTTATGTTGAATAAAGAGTGATGCACATGTTGGCGATATTTACATGACTGGTTGTTGTGATTCGCAACAGATATTGACTGGCAAAGCTCCGATCGTCAGAAAACCTTTGGTGGTCATGGTCTATATTCTACTGGAACCAGAATAGTATTTGGTGTTCATTGGTAGCCATTCACATGAAGGTTGCAGATATACATGAGCACTACACGGGCTCAGCTCTTCAGCTCAGGACTCAGCTGGACTGCAAGTAAGCTTCGCACTCTAATGTAACCGCGGCCGCGGTCTCACTCTCTGTCCACGGCTAAAAGTATGCTATCACGAAGCTGACTTGTCTTCATCTGGTGTGTGCTGCAGAGATTACCCTCGGCCGCGGATGTGGTAATGTACGCTCAATACCACTATTGTCAGTTGTGTAACAGATCGCCTCTGTACCATCGGCTCTATGCATATACCCATGCAAGTCTGAGTACGATTCTATGCTTATGCAATCACTACTTGATACAACATGGCATTAATGTGGCGTGTTGTTATTGCTTTTGATCCACTGCTTCCTTGTTGCACCTCTCCGGATTGCCACATATACCACCCGATGTATATGCTTTAGGGTCGGTGCTCTGTCATGTATGCTATCGTGCTGATGTCGTTTGTGATGACGATTTTGCAGGCGGCTGTGCTTCAAGAATTCGTTATCATCGGTAGCGTTGGGGTCTTTAGTTGGGAGATAGAAGGGCGTATTCATTTTCCAGATGGTATGATGGAGATGACACAAGAGCCGTTCGTCGTCCAACATAGGCGATACGAAATGTCCAATCTCATCTGTAGGCTGTGACGCGCGTTCAACTGTATTCGAGACATTCGGGATAAACTATATAATGTTAAGCATGTTAGTCGGTACATTTGGTTAGTTGTCACTTGGCTATCGTGGTACAACCTGACGTGACGAGGGTAGATGGCCTTGATTTGAGAGTTGGGCAAATCGTACAGCGTGCCTCCTACACGTGATCGAAGTTGAGAACCGTCAGACAAACGCGAAAAGCCTCTAGATTTCTGTACAATGAGGACTATTATGACAGTGGCCGATCGACAGCCGTTCGTAACGCTTTCGATCTTGTTGTATGTGACACAGACAGTACCAAACGGAAATTGACCCAAGGAAAATGTGGTATCGGTATTGGTATGGTGATTGTTGTGACTCTTCTATTCGGACTCTTTACTCGTCGTTGAGCTTCTGGCCCGCTGGGAGATCCTTCTCTGACTTGCTCTGTACCATCATTCCCTTGTAGCCGGTGATGGGCTCGGTTCCTTGCGACTGTGACGTGTTAGTACTGATACGTACACAAGGGGCGCTTGATAAAAGCGTTGGAGCTACGCACCTTCATGTACTCCTCGGTGGCTTCTTGCCACTCCTTTGTCATGGTACGGGGTCGGATGGGGCTGGCGAACATGCGCGTGAAAGCGAAGACGGCAAAGGCACCGGCGATGACGGCAGAAGAGAGGAGGAAGACGTTGCGGCCCTCATCCGGAGGCGGGGGTCGGCGAGGACCGTGGGGGCCAAAGGCGATGAAATAGGCTGTATGCAGAGCATGTTGTCAGTGCAATGTTCATATCGATAATTTTCCGGTACGTCGCGATGACCTCGCGTAGCGCGCACCAGATGCCGCGGGCTAGCTCGGGTACCTCGTTCATAACAGAAGATACGTCATAATAGCTCTCACGACATCCAGATGCGCCTCATGGGATTGTACGCACCGGCCTTCTTCTCCTGCATGGTCAACTCCTTCCAGTCGGTCTTCATGCGGTCCCTAAGTGTCATCCACAGGTCGGCCTGCTCCTGGGGAGGCATGTCCTCCCATCGCTTCTCGATGTTGGCAAGGGTTGGGTTGGAGATGGCGTGGGCCTGGCGGGATTGCTGGAGCTGGCAAGCTACCGGGGCAGCTCTGGGGAGAGCGGTGCGGGTCGCGGTCGATGACATGGCGGCAGCCGAGCTCGAGGCCCGGATGATAGATGAGCGCAGCATGGCGGCGGGCAGAGTGGAGAGTGTCGAAAATTGAAAAAGAAAGGGAGAAGCTTCCCGTCGAGGGACCTACAGCTGCCAATGGATCGTGGTGGTGATGGAGTCGATGGTGGGCCAGGAGAGCTGTCTTGCAAAATGTGGTTGCGGGAGGAACGCCAAGGTGGTGGAACGATCAATCTTCTGTGGCCCGAGCGCCCCAGTCGACCTAACGCCTAGCTCCTCATTGGCCGCGATAGCCTTCTATCGTGGGATGTGAGAGCCTCATTCGGATTCAATGCAAGGGTTACCATGAGGCCAACGCTGTCTGATGGCGAGAATAGGACTACAATGACTGTTTTTGAAGCATGCCCTTCACTGGGCGGCTCTTGTACTCTACCGAAGTGATACACCGGATCCGGACATGTGTAGATACCGAAGTACGGTGGCAAGGAGGTCCTCTCGACACTCGAGCATTTCAACACTATCTTCACGGTCGCCCTGATTCAGATGCGGCCGGTCAAGGGCCTTTGCTGGATGAGTGTATTTGCTTTCTATGTGAGCTGTTCGGCTGCCAGCGTCACCTTTTGGGCCGAAGCAAGTATTATGATGTCGCAAGAAATAAGACAAGACGCTTCGGACGTGTTGACTCAGGCGCATCAAAAGACCTGGATTGACTTATATAACTTATACGCATTCGCATCACTCCCCTATCTGGGTACCTGAATGAGCACGTAACTTGGAGCAGAACGCTCGCAAATTCCCTCAAGCGCGGGGTAGATCAGTGTTGCAAGGATCGGACAACGCAAGTCAATGGAGTCTGCGTACCTGCAAACGTCGTTGGAAACTATTAGCTACAAACACTGCACTCATCTTCCAATTTGCATGGTAGACGCGTCTGAATTGCTGTAGCTGTCCCGTGATCGGAGGGTCGGTGCACCCCAAACATGTCGGGGCCGGCATTGGCCTACATCGTCGTCTGTAACTCCGAGCTTGAGCTCAAGCTGTAGCTCGAGCTTTCCTTTGCCGCAACAGCTATATGCAGGTACCTAAGCACTTTGTTTAATCGCCGTAGGCCCTGGCGATCATGTGGCGGGCTTGAACTGCTTTATAACACAGCTCTGTCCATTATAGTGCCATCGTGCCGGCCGCGGATACGCCACGCCTCATCTCAAACCATACTCGACTTTGCCTGGCGGAGAGAATCTCGGTGGTGACACAAAACACTCGCCTCCCCACGAACCGGTGATCCGATCAGACTCTGCTGCGCGCTTTGCTTTATCTTATCGAATGACCAAAAGATCCTGCCCACGAGAGCGACAACGGCTACCTAACCCGCGCAGAGGTGTTTTTGATTGCTAGTCTGTGCTCCCGCTGATTACGAGATGCACATGTACTTCTTTCGTAAGAGTTTTGATAGAGTGATGTCCTGCGTGGCGTGCCGGGCCTGTATGCCCGGACAGCCGTATGCAGTGTCTATGCGAGGCTGCGAATACAGTATCACCAGAGCACTTGGCGTTTCAGTCACGAAGGCGTCTGGAGACATTTACAGGTGCCTCGGTCAGGTTACCCTCAGGGTGGTTCTGC